TGTGACCCAGCAGAGATTTGTTTCCACACGACCGTGTCCTGTGGCTGCAGAGGTGAGTGAGTGACCCAGTTTCAGCAGAGGAGACCCACAAAGATAATCTTAAACTCTAACTGCTTTTAATCAATTTAGCCTTAAAAAAATACCAATCCAAGGTACTTGTTCTCACAGCAAGACACATGCGTTGAGGGCAACGTTTGAGTTTGGATGAGTGGTGTGAGTTGGAGGAGGGCTGCGCTAATTAGCAAATGATTTGTTGAATTAATTTGTTTGATTAAACAGATGTTACTGAATGCCTGTCATGTGATGTGACTATGCCTGGTGTTAGGGTTACAGAAATGAACAAGAGAGGGCCGCTTGTCAGCCTGCCTAGAATTTGGCTGACCCTATGAGGCAGAGTGCTGCAGGTGGGCTGAGTCTGGTTATCATGTTCTTGAATTTAAGGTCATGTTGTTTGTTGTGATTTTGTTCTTCTATATTTCATTTATTTATTTTTCATTGTCTTCACATCATGCTTGAGAATAATTTGCTTGTCCAATACATTTATTCTACATATCTCTGGCCTATATTTTTAAAGTATCTAAAAATGCGTAATTCATGCTTCTGGTCACTTTATGGTGCTAGTTTTCTAGTCTGCATTCTTTAACAACAAGTTCAGTCTCTCCTCTCATTTTTCCTTCAGCAACACTTGCAAGGCAAGTTCGTTGCTTTCTTTCTGAACTTGAAGTGAAATTATGAACCGGTAGCTGCCAGGCAGATACACAAATGGAAGTGTACCTTACCTCAATAGATATAATTTGGGAGAAAAGAAAGTATTAAGCCCAGCGATCTTTTAAATCTATCATGTCTTCCCTTCCTGGTCCCTGCATGTTTGGGACAAGGGCCCAGATTCCAGGATGAGCCATCCCAGTTTCTTTACTATACAGCGACAGGGCTTCCCTGTCCACGTGTGTCTTCTGGATGAAAATTTTCACTCCTATTTGTACAATTGTTGCTCTTGCTGGACAATTTTGTTCTAGGTCTTTTCAGTCATCTGGGGTCAGAACTTTCTTCTTGATTGTTCCCGGTGGGCATCACCAAAGAGTGGGTCTGCCTGGCTGCTGACACGAGCCCTGGAACCCAAAGTCTTACCTGGCTAAATTTGCTTCTCTTGTATTGCACAGCTGTACCCCTAAGGTTACAGAGGAGAACTGAGCAACAAGAAGAGACTTGTCCCTGAATTATCCTCATCACAAAATTCGACCTGCCAAACTCCACTGGAGGTAAAGCTAGGGCCAGTAGTGAGGGAAAGCATTTTTCAGGAGAGAACAGAATGTCTGGAGAGGGGACAGCATTTGGGGGGTGAACACATGGTATAGAGAAGCTGGAATGGGGTTATAGTACATCCATTCTAAGTGTGATTTTTGTGAAATGATATCTGAATGGAATGAGAAGTCTCATAAGTTTGCTATTTGTAAGTTTTATCACCTGGAAAACCGGTATAAAAACAATACTCATTGGATTTGTGCAAATGAACTAAAATATTGACTGCCAAACATAAAAAATGCATGATGATAAATGAATGCTAATAAGAGCTTGCTATTAGTAATCTTAGAGTAATATGAATTTGAGCAGCAGTAGTAATGGAAGTGTTGTCTTTCGATAAAAGAACAATAAAGAGAAATGGTTGAACGGAGCTGTCACCTCAAACTCACTTTCTCTCCTTCTTCCCCACCCAGCCTGCCATGGAGAACCACAACTCCTCCAGACTGTCTGAATTTGTGCTTCTTGGTTTCCCCAATGTGGGGCGGATCAAGGGCTGGCTATTTCTCCTGCTGCTGCTGGCATACATGTTCACAGTCTGTGGCAACCTGCTTATCTTCTTAGTCATACGACTGAATACAGCCCTGCACAAACCTATGTACCACTTTATCAGTATTCTCTCCTTCCTGGAGCTGTGGTATACGGCCACCACCATTCCCAAGATGCTAGCTAATCTTCTCAGTGAGAAAAAGACCATTTCTTTTGCAGGTTGCCTCCTTCAAACCTACTTCTTCCATGCTCTAGGTATCTCTGAATGCTATCTTCTCACTGCCATGGCGTATGACCGTTACCTGGCCATCTGCCAGCCCCTCCACTACCCTGCCATTATGACCCCAACACTCTGTTTCAAGATGGCTGCTTGCTGTTGGACAATAGGCTTCCTGACTCCCATTACTGAAATCAGCCTGGTCTCCCAGCTCCCCTTCTGTGGCAACAATAAAATTCCACACATCTTCTGTGACTTCCCACCTCTGCTTGGCCTGGCTTGCAAAGACACGTCCATTAATGTTTTGGTCAACTTTGCCATCAATTCCTTCTACATGCTTCTTACCTTTCTCTTTATTATGTCTTCTTATGGAAGAATTATTGTGGCTGTCTTTAAGATAAAGTCAACAGCAGGGAGGAAGAAGGCCTTCTCCACTTGTGCCTCCCATCTCATTGTGGTCTTCCTCTTCTTCGGGAGCATCATCTTCATGTATATTCGGCTAAAGAAGAGCTACTCACCCACCCTTGACAGGACATTTGCTGTGGTCTACTCTGTAGTCACACCCCTGGCCAACCCCATCATCTACAGTCTTCGTAACAAGGAACTCATTAGGGCCATCAAGAAGACCATCTTCTGCAAAGAGGACAAAACTAGTCCCTCTCACCATTGACTTTCTCCCAAGGTCCTTCTTATGCTGCAAAGTCCAGCTGATAAAATTTCTGTGTGCCTCTGTCCTGACCTTGAAGAGTCTTCCCATCATCAATCACACAATGGGCTCCATCTCCTCTTCCCTCCTCAAACACTGTGTTTTTTGTATGTGTTTTCTTCATCCACACTTTCAATATCGAACAATATTTTACTATCTCTATGTTATCCAAAACGGCACACCATTTCCCTGGATACAAACTTCCAGCCAGATAAGTCTATTTCTCGGCTCCCTTTCCACTCCACTCTCTCAGATAGCTGATGGCACAGCTATCACCTGTTCATTCTTCCTGTTCACTTTTTGTTTCATTTCAAATGGCTTTGGCTTAGAACTTTAAACCAACATTTAGCCAAGGTCAGCAATGACCTTCATACTGCCAAATCCATTGATCCCTTTTTGAATTCTTGATGCACATGAGACATGGCTGGTTATTTTTTAATAAAAAAAACCATCATTTCTTATTTATCATGCTATCATTTATATCATGTTTTTATAACTATCTCTCTACACTGTCCCCTTGGTCCTAGAGTGCTGTCTTCCAAGGTGCTCAGAGCTATTCCTGTGGCTTTTAATTTTGGCCATATCTTTGCCAATAACTCTTGAATATATTTTCAAACTTATGAATCCAAGGATCTACTTAACAACCCTACCTGGATAGAGATCAGAAATTTAAAACTTATGTCAAATATGAAGTCCTCCTTTCATACTAACCTCTGTAAGAGTTTTCACAAGATTGGCATGTTTCATTGATTCAATTTTTTTGTGTAACATCACAGGTAAATCTTCAGATTTCTAGTCTGAGCATTACACTTTTGTCTCTGTGTGTAGGAAAAAAAAATCCAATAACTTTCCTTTCTTCCACCCTTAGTTCTATTAATATATGTGAATTTTCCTTAAAATATATCCCCAAATCTGTTTTACTTTCTCCTTAGTATTATGTTCCTGATGTAAATATCCAACATTGTCAACTTTGCTCAATACAATATTCTGTCTACTTTTTATGTTCCCACTCTTGCTTTATTTTATATACTTTCCACATTAGACTAAAATGATGTGTTTTAAACATAACTTGGATGTGCATTTTCTAAAAGATTCCCTGTTGCACTTCAGATAAATTATAAAACTTCACTATACTTTGTAAGGTTCAACAAATGCCTCCTCCTTCTCCAGCACTCCTGGTTTCCAGCTTTTCTCCATTAATTCCCACTTATCTAGGAACATTGTCACTGATTCCTCAAATACATTAAGACCTGTGTGGTTCAAAAGCATTGGACCTTCTCCTCACTCCTTAACACTCCAGTGGGCTCATTCTTCATTATTTAAATGTTTCCTTCAAAGGACATTTTCTCTGGAGAGCTTTTGAACACTCATCTTAATTTGTTCTCTTTATTTTTCTTTTTGAATTATATTTTGTGTTTTTCAAAATTAGCATCACCACTTATATGTTTAGGTACATTTGTATATATGTAGATACAGATATATAGTTTGTCACACTTTACAAAAACCTGTAACTGTGTTTGGTTTATAATCATGTCACTACTATTAGATGCAAGTATATAGCAAGTATATAAACATAATGCATATCCAAGAAAAGTGTAATGAATGAAAACTGTAATCATTTTTCTACTCTTCTGTCATATTTTTCATTAAACTAAATAATGTGACCTAACAATAATCCTGATACTATCTTGACTCTAATCACTGCTGGATGTTAACTTTTAATGCTGAGAAAGAATTCTTTGCTGATCCTGTTCCCTTACATCTCCTCCATTCTAATTTTTAGTGTTGCAGAACTTAAATTTCTACAGAACTCAACTTTTCTATGTCTGCTTCCTAGATTTTTACTCCTACTATCTTATTTTTTTTAAAATGGACCAGACTATAACCCTTTTATTATGCAGAACCTATAACTAGGCAGAGAAATACAAAATGTGTAAGATAGAGAGTAGCCTACCAATTAAAAAAAATTATTGAAGATAACATCCATACAGCGAGCTTTTGTTCAGAAAACAAATGTGCAGCTCAATGAGTTTTCACAGATTGAATGCTTTCATGCAGTGAACTTTCAAATCATGGAAAGATCATAGGAAGCATCACCAGAATTTTCCTATACGCCTAGATATGTTCACTCCTTTCCTCAATTTCCTTCAAGTAGAAAAAAATAACCTAACACTTACTAATACTGTAGATAGATTTATCTGTTTTGGTATTTTACAGAAATTGATTTAAACATTCTATGCTCTTTTGTGTCTGATTTCTTTTCCTTTTTAAAGAATAATTTAGTTTTATAATATTGTATCAGTGTAGATGCATAGCATATTAATTCTATATTTGTAAACACTGGCTATGAACACCACCACATGACTTGTTTCTGCCTATCACCAATCTTGTGTCTATGAAATTCACCCCATTGTCTTATTTAGTTGAATGTCTTCTATTCTTTTCTCTAGAATTCTATTATGTGACCATACCACCAGTGATGCACATTTCAATAAGATACAATTGACCCCTATTAACACTACTATGAATTTAGCAATAAAGGCTATAGAGTGCTCAAATGTCCTGGTGGCTGGCACATGTCTGGGAGTAGACTGATTGGGACATTAGATACAGACACATTGCATCAGCAAGACATAACAACTATCAGGAAGAAAATCCAGCAGAATCATTACTAGTTGAGAATTTCCTCAAAAAGGCAGGAATTTCCTCAAAAAGGCAGGAATTGTGATAGATGCTTCATGTCACAGATAAAAAAGCAAAAAAAAGTTAGGTAAATTTAATATTAAATATTAAATAAATTTCTGTGTTAGTTAATAAGTAGTATCACCAAATTATCAAAGGCCCAGAAACAAGAAAAAAAAAAAATAAGGACTTAGGAAGCATTAAGTAATGTGCTTTAGGGCCCTCCCTGGTGGCGCAGCGGGTTAAAGCACAGCACAATGCAACTTAAGCCACTTCCTCAAGAGTTCGATCCCCGCCTGCCCCGGAGGAGATCTACATGGCCTGGCAGACCTCTCCTGACTGGCCCGCTGCTTCCCTCAACAGTGTACTTTGTCGATCTGCTTGTTCTGTATCCCACTCTGTCTCTGGTGAATCCTCTCACCCACCGCATCCCTGGCCTGTACCCCAGTTCTGTATGAATAAATAAATCTTTAAAAAAAAAAGTAATATGCTTTAATTCCTTCTTTTTAGCTTTCCTTTATAAATTATTATGTATGTATACACATGCATAAAAAGTAACTTTTTATTGCAAACCACCATAAATTTTGAGAAATCTATAGGATTGTTATCTACTACTACACACATGAAAGAGGATCATTCTACAACCCCCAAACTCCAGGTCATGATCCTCTGTAGAAGACCTTGACCAAAATCGCAGCCCCTGGCAACCATTCCTTCCTATGTTTGCCTTTTCCAGAAAACATAAAAAGTATAGTCTGAATATTGCTGAATGTTTTTTATTGCTGAGTGATATTCCATAGTGTATATGAGCCACATCTTTTTAATCCAGTCATCTATTTTTGGGCATTTGGGTTGATTCCACATCTTCCCTATTAATAGTGCAGCAATAAATATGAGGGTGCAGTTTCATTTTGAATTGATATTGTTGTATGCTTTTGGTAGATACCTAAGAGTAGAATTGCTGGGTCATATGGAAGTTCCATTTTTAGCAGTCTGAGAAACTTTTAAACAACTTTCCACAGTGATTGTACCAGTTTTCAGCAACATAGATGGAGCTAGAGGGATCATGTTTAGTGAAATAAACCAGAAGGAAAAAGAAAAATGCTGGATGTTTTCACTCATAAGGAGCATAAGGGATAAGGGGAAAGAAAAAGAGAGAGAGAAGCAAATGTAATAAAGGACAACGAACAACTATAAGCCAGAGACACAGTACGGTGTCGAAAGGGAGTGGGATAAAAACTGGGGTGGGAAGAGTGCACAGAACTATGGTGATGGCACACAGGTGACTTGATGGTGGGAAGCTCGTGGAGACTACAACTGAGATGGGAAAACGTTCAAAACGAAGAATGATGTAAAAAATAAATTTAAAAATATAATCAGCCTAAAATACTCTATGCTAAAAACAAAACAAACAAACAAACAAACAAAAAACAAAAAACTTATTTTGGGGGGTGGAAAACTCTGCTCGCTTTTTCATCAGGCAGTAAAAATGTACAAAGGGCAGTTTAGTGTAGCTACAGTTTGGCTGTCCAGGTGAAATTAAACAAGCTTCAAAATATGAGTGGCATCATTTTTATTAACAGGAAATGTCACCACATTATAAAGGACTTCTGCTTCTCACCTGACATTCTATTTCTTGATATTTAAAATAAGTATTAAATCAAATTCACTAAGTGGATGAGCATCTCTAAAAGATGAACGAGGTGCTAGTGTGCTGGAGGTCCAGGACAGACATGTGCAAAAACAGGACTTTGTTTTAGAGTATTTCTGGTAGGAGGTATTGTGATATAAAAACATAAGGAATTTCCTTGATTTCTATTTTTATATAAATTCTCCATAGCCTTTTTTGCTCTTTCACAGAGTGAGACAAACTGAAGCCTTCCTGAAAAGGCTGACCAACGTATTGAGAGTAAAAGGAAGATTCTTCTATGGCAGGAAAGATCTTAGAGGTGGGATATTTGGACTGTGCCCCAAACTCATGGGATTTGGAATGTGTTGGATCCAGAAAGTTGTTTTAGAACTAACTGGTAAAAGTGAGAAGGAGTGGACATTATTATCTCATTAAAACTGAATTTCACATAATTCAAAGTTGAATTTTTATCATGGAGGTTTTGTAATGTAATTGATCTTCAATAAGAAAATTATAACAATGTTAGAAACATTGAAAAACAAAGTGATGTAGTGGCGGGGGGAAGAAAATTGTATGGTTCATTAGGTCTGTACTAGACTTTGTTTTCTGCTCATTTTGTATTCTAACTGAGAAAGAGGCATTCAAAGCTAGC